ATGATGATGAATTGCGATGTTTGCTACCTACAAATACGTCTTCTGGGCAGGAGTTCACTGTGGTTGAATCGTTCTCGCTAATGGTCTGCATCAGTTGAATCATTATGGTAATGCGAATGGAAGGATACTAGATTTGGTTTTCTCTACTGATATCAATGTACTCGAGCTTGTGGAGCCCCCGTCACCGCTACTGCGTGTTGATAAACATCAAAAAACATTGGTGCTTGTGATTGACACTGCAAGCTAATGTGAAATTTCCCGAGCAACTGATCCGTTAGATTTTGACTTCAAGCGATGTGATTTTGCAGTTTTAAGCTCAATGATTTCGGACGTCGAATTGGTTGCAGTGTCGACGAAGTGGTATCGATATTCTACGACAAGCTTTATGGAATCATCAGCGAAGTTGTGCCTCTAAAACAACGGATCGACACCCACAGGAAGAAACAACCATGGTGGAACAATGAACTGCAACGGCTGCGAAATCGTCTACGCAGGGCAAGGAAGCGTTACTTTCGGTCTAGGAATGAACAGCATAAGGCTGAGCTGCGTGACTTAGAGAGCGAATATAACTCTTTGCATGCACAATGCTTTCGCTGCTACATTCATCGTACTGAAGCAAGTTTGAAACAGGACCCCCAACAATTCTGGCAATATGTGAAGACCCGTAAGCGATCCAACGGAATGCCTCGACATCTCCGTTACGAAGGTGAGGCAGCTGAATCTCCAACAGAATCTGCAAATCTGTTCTCGGCGTTCTTTCGAAGTTCCTTTGGTTTGTTTTTTCGTCGATCTTGTTTTCCGTGCTGAGCACCAATGCTACCGACGTGCCAGGAAGGCAGCTCCCACACCTGGACCCTACCTATCGACCCATCAACTCATGAACCGGGGACCAACGGCTTTACTTCCCACAACACGAAAGCAACACGAGTAGCCAAATCTCCAGCAAAAATAAGCAGATTAGACCTCTCACTTTGTTCGAGTTCACTATCGTTGGATTGCTCGTGGAAAGTAATTCAAGATCCCTACGGTAGTGACCATTTGCCAATCAAAATTTCTATTACCAATGGTTCATCTTCTACTCGTTCGGTCGACATCGCGTACGATCTTACGAAAAACATTGACTGGCGAAAATTCGCGACCGCGGTTCTTGATGCCAGTCAATCGGTTGACGTACTTCCAAGGCTGGACGAGTACTCCTTTCTCGCGCGTCTTATCATCGATTCTGCGCTGCGAGCACAGACGAAACGTGTTCCGGGTATTTCCGTCCGCAAGCGACCTCCCACCCCGTGGTGGGATAAGGATTGCACCGACGCGAACAGCGAGAAGTCCGCCGCGTTTAAACGGTTCCGCAAACACGGCAAGGTCGGGGATTTCGAGCGGTACACCGACCTCGAGAAAACTTTTAAGGACTTAATTAAAGCAAAAAAACGCGGTTACTGGCGTCGGTTCGTCGATGGTTTGTCGCGAGAGACTTCCATGAGAACACTCTGGAATGTCGGCAGGAGAATGCGAAACGCGTCATCACCGATTAACGAAGACAAGGAGTACTCGGACAGTTGGATATTCAGCTTCGCGCGGAAAGTTTGCCCGGATTCGGTGTCGGTTCAAACCAACGTTCGTGATAGTCCGTCGGGTAGTAACGAAATAGATTCTCCGTTTTCGATGGTGGAATTCTCACTTGCTCTCCTCTCATGTAACAACTCAGCTCCAGGAATGGATAGAATCAAGTTCAACTTGCTTAAAAATCTCCCAGACGTCGCGAAGAGACGCTTGTTGAACTTATTCAATCAATTTCTGGAGCACAACATTGTTCCGGATGATTGGAGGCAAGTAAGAGTTATCGCCATTCGAAAACCCGGTAAACCCGCGTCGGATTATAACTCGTACCTCGTCCCATCGCGATGCTGTCCTGTATACGGAAATTGTTGGAGAAAATGATTTTTTTTCGTCTAGACAAATGGGTCGAGTCGAATGGTTTACTTTCAGATACGCAATTTGGATTTCGGAGAGGCAAAGGAACGAGCGACTGTCTTGCGTTGCTTTCAACTGAAATTCAACTGGCCTATGCGCAAAAACAGGAAATGGGTTCAGTTTTCTTGGACATTAAGGGGGCTTTTGATTCTGTTTGTATCGATGTCCTTTCGGATAAAGTCCACGATAATGGGCTTTCACCAAGTATGATCAACTATTTGAGCAACTTGTTGTCTGAGAAATATATGAGCTTTTCTCATGGAAACTCGACAACTTCACGAATTAGTTACATGGGTCTCCCCCAGGGCTCATGTTTGAGCCCCCTTTTTATAATTTTTAAGTAAAAGACATTGATGGTTGTCTTGATGAAAATTGCTCGCTAAGGCAGCTTGCAGATGACGGGGTTGTGTCCGTTATAGGGCCAAGTGCACCGGACCTGCAAGGACCATTGCAAGATACCTTAGACAATTTGTCTACTTGGGCTATGAAGCTGGGTATCGAATTCTCTCCGGAGAAAACTGAGTTGGTTGTTTTTTCTAGGAAGCATCATCCTGCACAGTTACAGCTTCAACTAAAGGGTAGAACAATCACTCAAAGTATATCTTTCAAGTATTTAGGTGTCTGGTTCGATTCCAAAAGCACGTGGGGAAAACATATTGCGTATGTGAAACAAAAATGCCAACAAAGAATCAATTTTCTTCGTACAATTACTGGAACTTGGTGGGGAGCACACCCGGAAGATCTGATCAGGTTGTACCGAACAACCATCTTGTCGGTTCTAGAGTACGGTAGCTTCTGCTTTCAATCCGCGGCGAAAACACATATCCTGAAGCTGCAACGGGTTCAATACCGTTGCCTCCGAATCGCGCTTGGCTGTATGCACTCGACGCATACGATGAGCCTCGAAGTACTCGCGGGTGTTCTCCCACTGACAGATCGTTTCGCGGAACTGTCTTTCCGGTTTCTTATCCGTTGTGAAGTAATGAACCCATTGGTAAAATAAAACTTTGAGAAGCTGCTCGACAGAAATCCTCAAACAAGATTCATGAGTCTCTTTTACGAGTACATGACGCTGGAGATTGGCCCTTCTTCATTCAATTCCTCTCGTGTTTGCCTCCAAGACGTTTAAAGTTCCTCTGTAAATTTTGATCGGACCATGTTGCAAGAAATCCTTGGAATACCAGATCACCATCGGTCGATGGTTGTTCCCTTAATTTTTGCAAACAAGTACCACCATGTTAGTAACAATAAGAGTTTTTTCACAGATGGGTCAACTATAAACGCTTCCACTGGATTTGGAGTATTCAACGAATTTCATAGCGCCTCATATCAACTGCAAAAACCCTGTTCCGTATACGTTGCGGAACTAGCAGTCATATTTTACGCTGTAGAGCAAATTGCCTCACTACCATATGATCACTATTTTATTTTTACTGATAGCCTTAGCTCGTTGGAGGCTATTCGATCAATGAGCAAAATTGAGTACTTTATCTAACTGCTCCTATATTATCACCTTAGCTTGGGTCCCATCTCATTGCTCAATTCCGGGTAATGAGAAAGCGGACTCGCTAGCTAAGGCGGGCGCTATGGAAGGCGATATTTTTGATCGACAAATCGCCTTTGCGGAATTTTTCTCAATTACCCGTCAGCACGTCCTCACCAACTGGCAACAAAAATGGAATGAGAGTGATCTGGGAAGATGGTTACATTCTATTCTCCCACAGGTGTCGAACAAGCCATGGTTCAAAGGATTGGACATGAGCCGTGACTTTATACGTGTCATATCAAGGCTCATGTCCAATCACTACTCGTTAGACTCGCATTTCTTCCGAATCGGGCTCGCAGGCAGCAATTTGTGCGCTTGTGGTAGTGGCTATCACGATATCGACCACGTGCTTTGGTCATGCACCCTACATTGTGTTGCTAGATCCGAGTTATCCGCATCCCTCAGGGCCCGAGGAAAACAACCTATGGCGTTAGAGACATCTTGGCGAGCCGAGATCTCGAATATTTTAATTTAATTTATGTGTTTTTAAAACGGATCGATCTGAGGATTTAGTAGTTAGTGTCATCTTGTGTTCCCCCAAGTTGTTAGCTGCCCATCGGTATACCCCCATGTTTGTCTTTTTCGTTAGTTGGTCGCTTAGTTCGAGATAAAAAGCACATTGCTCTCCAAACCTTGTGTTCTCAATCCCTACCCTGCCATCCATTTGTTACAATTTGTTACCCATAACCTCGAGATAGCCGCGAGTAATCGGACCCCGCTTTACTAACGTTAGTTTTAAGAAATTTTGTCATCCAAACAATGATTATCGGCTCCGCAAAGCTACGGCAAATGAGCCTGGAAAAATAAACGCATTTAAAAAAGAAAAGAAAACCATGTTTAAAAATAGGATTAGTTCTTTAACTAGACATTAATAATTCTGTCTGTTCGTTTTTATTATACGAAGAAAAGTAAATAAATAAAAAGCCCATCTTTCTAAACAATGAAATGAAATACAAGTCTACGTCAATGAAGGTTTACATCACAATTAAAATTCAGAATTTTTATCTGTGCACGTTTGCTGCACTGCAGCATACATGAAGTAGCAATTTCAGGGAAAATGGGGCATTGATTTCCAAGATTTGTGTAATTGAAAGTTTGAAGTGGAAGTGCATGTATAGCCTACGTAGCGGCCATTTGTGGACTCAACAAGGAATCACCTTAACCCGTCCAATTGTCTCCAGTGTAGGCCGATTGATACATTTGTTGCAAATTTGATGGGGATGCTGAAAGTGACCAAAAACACCTGTCAGATGCAAATGTTGTGCTATCATAATAGTGCACGAATAAAGTATGCGGGGGTTGATGAGCCGGGATACTGGCAAAGACACAGAATGTCTTGAAATTAATATTAATAATTTTGTTTTCTGTACTTTTTAGTGAAATCAGGTTTTTAATCTGTTAATCCTAATCCGAAATATACGCGATTGTTGTTGTTACATTTCTAAATAGTCCATGCTTTATATTTTTAGCGGTAGTTTCTTACCCATGATAGCTTTTTGGGTCTATTTTTCCTGGACGGGTACTCGTTTCGTAGTGCTGTTGGTAAACTCTAAAAGAAAGAAAATATGTTATCTCTAAAAATATAACATAAATTGCAAAAAAATCTGTTTAAATTGTTTAAGAATAGATGTTTGATTTTTTTAAGTTTTTGAATTTGTAATTTGGCTATTTACATGCAGACACACATGAATACACACACGGGCTACAAATTGTGAGTTGACAACTTGGAAGGATCGTAATTCCAAGCTATGGTCCGATACGTACACGGAGATGAAAAACTACCCAAAATTAAGTACTTTTTAACCTAAATTTAAATAAATTGCATATAGTAGTTTCCATTTAACAGCAGCAAAACAAAAACTTACTCTTAAGTATATTCTATTCAAAATTAAGTTTATTTCACGTAAATTTGGAAATATGCACTGAACTCAACAGTAACTTATTGGGTTGAACTATATCGTTGGGTCAAATCTCTCGTTTCTTTTTTGACAACAATAACGAGTTCAATTGAGAGGCTCAACTCAAAATAAAGTAAAAAGAACTTAATTTTTGATTAGTATTTTTTCTCCATATAGGTAGGAACTTTTCGATTACGATTGCCTAAAATTATCTATGTTTTTTATCGACAAAAATCGTTACTTTTTACTCAAAATAGGTAAAATTTAACTACTTTGACTGTATGTTTAGTATTATACTTCTGCGTGAAGTCAACGATTTACATAGTTGAAGATGCTAGTTTCGAATAACAGACTGAAGTGGTAATTTTTATACGATAGATGAGGAGGAGATGAAAGTATAGAATTGATAGTTCCGTTTAGATTACGGCAGTGTGAAAATTGCATATAGAGAGTAGATAGCGAGCTAGGACAACTTTTAACGAAGGTACAAATCGGTTTTATCATCTCTCTTTACCAAAATCCCCCTACCCCGCCACCACTGGCAAAAAGAGATGATCGCCGACCCCTCAAGTACCAACAATGTGTTTGAAACAGTTCTACCGATTATTACCGCACTCCAGTTGTTATTCGAAGCAAGGCATCCAGTCGTAGGTTTGGAAATTGCAGCTATTGTTTACCCCTACCACGGTATGTGCTCCAGTCATCGTCGACTTGACGATCTCGAGGGGACACGGGTGGGGTAGGTGCTGCTACTGTCCCTTCGACCAATGAAAGTAATTGATGGTATGCTCCCATCCAGAGTTATGTACTTTGACTATATCTAGATAGAGCTGGAATTAGGGCGAAACAGCTTTTGTAAACAATGACTTCTATCGATGATTTCTGGGAACCCAAGGCACGCCCACGCAGACCAACATAACCATCGGATAGTGGAAGTCTTTCCCTACCCGATGAGGATGTTGGTTTGCGTGGGCGAGCCTTGAAATTCTAGAAATCATCGATAGAAGCCATTGTTTACAAAAGCTGTTAGGCCCTAATTCCAGCTCTATCTAGATATGTTTAGTATTCTTTACCGACTTTGAGGTATGTGCATCTTAGCGTGTGGGAAATGTTGTCCTTACAGTGAGAAGGTGTAACTCATTTAATTTTGATCCAATTTGATCACAACAGTTTCACCCTCCCCGTGGCTAGTTTTTGCATCTTTACGCTGGTGGGCGGTTCTGGCAGTGAAAGCACAGACAAATAGACATAACACTCGCAAGTTGTTCATCGACCAAGCATTTAACGATCAATTTAAAAGTATCGTAGTTGGTAGTACCGCCATCTGTGGCGCGCATAGTTAGTTCTCTTGCGTTTGACGTTTACACACTAACGCCATCTGTTCAGCGTACTACCCACCACAGTGTACTCAACAGATGGCGGTAATGTTTTAGCGACGATGTTTCACAGTGAGAAATATTCAATGTGTTATGTCTGTTTGTCTGTGCTTTAAAGGTCTTTTTTTAAATTGAATACTTACGTGGTGATATCGAGGTTTTTCTGTGCTTGTCTGTCATTGTTGTTGTGATGTGAAAAATTGATTAAATGGAATACATAATAAACATTACATCAGTTTTGCGGATAAAAATTAGGATAGGATTGATACGTACTGTTCTCCATTGTATGCAAAACTGATGGTGTCCGTGCCCGATTTGGGAATTGATTTTCTGCTTTGATTTGTGTCTGGATTTGAATGGGTCCTTAAAATGAAATACATAAGAGTAATCTATTTATTTATTTTTCGTCAACCAACGTAGACTAGTACATATTCGAATACAGTTTGGTTTTCTTAAATTTATTTATTTATTTCGTCAACTTTGGAAAAGAGGTTAAAAGTATAATTTTGTATTTAATAAAAATTAAGCAGTGTCAGCTTTCCTATTTTTTTATGAGTTATAATGCCTTATGGAGTAAAAATATTGTTTTAGTTTATGCCGAGACATTGCACAGTGGGCAAAAATTGACAAAACCGCGACTAAATTGAATATCTCGGCTGCCAAACGGTTTCAGTCAACATGTTATACATATTCTCAAAGGAAAAATTCTCTTGAATCGATTGGTGGTGGTCTCATTGGCCGGAGACTGTTGCGTACCGATATGGAGGTCCGGGATCAACCCGAGTTCCCGGTAATGTAGGAAATGTCACTATCTATTGACATAATTTTAACTTTACTTAACGTATATTACTGGAAATTGATAGTACTAAGTATATATGGTGTAAAGACACCATATAAGCCCACAGGAAAACTCTACTGGCCTAGCGCGCTCCGCTATTTTGGAAGTTTTCTCGCTATTCGCTTGATTTATATTATCAGTTTTTTCTCGCTTAGAGTTCCCAGCTAAATAATTAACTAAAAGTGAGTTTTTTCTGAGAAGAAAGTGTGTTTTCGGCATCATCGGAAGGAAAATTGTTTTTGCGATTGCCAATTCGCCAACCATTTTGCGCACCATCGGTGCGTGATCACGCATACCGGCACACAGATCATCGTCATCGAGTGTCAGCATCTGCCTCCGCATTTATACCGGTCATCCATCATCGTGTGTCCAGCTGAGTGCCGAGCCTAATACAAGCACACCACTACAAAGATCGCCCGCACACGCGGATCGAAGATCATCCACGCTGCGCGTCGCTCCGCTGCTGCTGTTTAAACGCTCGGTGGTAGTAGTATAGGATTATCAGATAAGTTTTTATTCTTGTTTCTCTCTTTCGCCCATCATTTAAATTTTAAGTTTGTGTTCTGTGTTTGTAGTTTTTTTTTGTGTATTGTGTCCGAGTGATTATCGTTTCAGTGGTAGAGCGTTTTTCGCTCCCACTAGTACGGCAAAATGGACATTTTGTCGCAAGACGAAATGGACGTTTTGTCAGAAGATGACACCACTTTGCCACGCGATGGCAAGAAGGGTCGAAAACGTACGTCATCTCAAAAGAAAGATGATGTCATCTCTGGTTCATCGTCTCAGTCTGGCAAAGGACAGGCTCAGATAAACCCCCGATCGCGAGCCTATCCAGATGACTCGACTGGCCCATGGGTTGTCTACTTTCAGCCCAGAAACAAACCTTTGAATGTAATGCAAATTACTAATGATCTGACGAAGCGATACTCGGCCGTGACTGAAATCACGAAGGTTAGGCACAATAAACTTCGTGTCTCCGTCTCTAACCTGAAGCAGGCTAACGAGATTGCTGCCTCCCAGCTCTTCACGCTCGAGTACAGAGTTTACATCCCGGCTCGTGTAAGCAGTTGGGACATACGGCCTCCCACTGTGGCAGCAAGGCACGCTGTTCCAAATGCGGGGAGAAGCATGGGGATGACACCTGTGCAGTTACCGCACCAAAATTCGTGTACTGTAAGGGAACTCCTCACGGGGTCTCTCGTTGTGCCCGGTGTACAAACTACGCGGGGAGAAATTACAACGCTCACTTAAGGAACGTTCCCGGCAGTCTTTTGCAGAAATGCTTAAGACGGCCACGTCATCGACCAACGACAAAAATCCCTTTTCTCTTTTGTCAGATGACGAGACTGACTCTGACTTGGCTGAGCACGGAAACGAAAACGCATCCGTTCGCGGAAAGTTGAGAATGAAGAACCCCAAATCAGCTTGCCCAAATCAAGGAGTGGTGGAAAAAAGGAAGTTTCTACTCCTCCTGGATTCAGAAGAACTGACTATACCCAGGATTTTCCACCTCTCCCGGGGACATTCAAAACCCCTGATGTCCCATTTTTAAGAACAGAAGCCCCTTCTTCATCTGGGTTGTTCTCATTTGATAAAATTGTGGACGATATTCTCAAGTACCTGAATATTTCTGATCCTCTCAAAAGCATTGTTCTGGCAATGCTTCCTACTGTGAAGACCCTCTTGAAGCAATTGACATTGAAGTGGCCCCTCATTGCAGCAATCATTTCCTTCGATGGATAATTTTCCAAACGAGGTCGGGGATTTGATCACTATTCTACAGTGGAATTGTCGAAGTCTTATTCCTAAATTAGACTCTTTTAAGTTTTTAGTTCACAATAATGATTGTGATGCATTTGCTCTTTGTGAAACTTGGCTCTCTTCAGATATAGATCTTCCTTTTTATGATTTTAACATTATTCGACTGGATCGTGAGGATTCGCGTGGAGGAGGGGTACTTTTGGGGATCAAAAAGTGCCATTCTTTCTATAGAGTGAATCTTCCACAATTTACAGGTATTGAAGTTGTCGCATGTCAGGCTATTATTAAAGGTAAGAGCCTTTGTATTGCTTCTGTTTATATTCCTCCTAGAGCCGTTGTTAATCCAAAAAAACTTTCAGATATCTGTTCAGTACTTCCTGCTCCACGGTTGATTATGGGAGATTTTAATTCCCACGATACAGGCTCAGGGGAACTGTATGATGACAACCGTTCTACTTTTATATATGACCTCTGTGATAACTTCAATATGACAATTCTCAACAATGGAGAAGTAACACGTTTGGCTGGACCATCTTCGAATGGAAGTAAATTAGACCTCACACTTTGCTCTAACTCATTATCGTTGGATTGCACGTGGAATGTGATCCAGGATCCCCACGGTAGTGATCACTTGCCGATCAAAATTTCGATTGCCAGTGGGTTCAATCCGTCGGAATCCGTTAACGTCGCGTACGACCTCACCCGTAATATCGATTGGACAACGTTCAAGACCGCGATAGAGGAAGCCGTGTCGTCGGTAGAAGGGCTTCCACCGTTGGAGGAATATAACTTCCTCTCCAATCTGATCTTGGACAGCGCGCTTCGAGCTCAAACTCGGCCGGTTCCTGGAACGTTTTTGCGTAGGAAACCTCCTTCCCCTTGGTGGGACCACCAATGCACTGAGGTTTATCGTAAAAAGTCCGACGCGTTTAAGCTTTTCCGGAAACGTGGAACACCCGTGTATTTCGAAGCGTACTCGGCTCTTGAACGCGAACTCAAGAGCCTCATCAAAGCCAAGAAACGCGGATACTGGCGGATATTCGTGGACGGATTATCGCGCGAAACGTCGATGAATACGCTTCGGAGCGCGGCGCGAAGGATGCGTAACCGGTCTTCGAACAACGAGAGCGAGGAGTACTCAGATCGTTGGATTCTCAAGTTCGCGCGAAAAGTATGTCCTGATTCCGTGCCGGCACAGATGATTCCTCGCGAAACGACGAATTCTGTAGACGAGATCAGCCAGCCTTTTTCAATGCTGGAACTCTCACTCGCGCTCCTTTCGTGTGGCAATTCGGCTCCGGGGGCTGATAGAATCAAGTTCAACTTGTTGAAGAACCTCCCAGACGTCGCTAAGAGGCGCATGTTGAACTTGTTTTGTCAGTTCCTGGAGCTCAATATTGTTCCGGATGATTGGAGGCAAGTGAGAGTTATAGCCATTAAAAAGCCTGGAAAACCCGCTTCAGATCATAACTCGTATCGTCCCATCGCGATGTTATCGTGCATTCGAAAATTGTTGGAGAAAATGATCCTTTTTCGCTTGGACAAATGGGTTGAGACGAACCACCTACTCTCAGATACTCAATTTGGATTCCGTAGGGGCAAGGGAACGAACGACTGTCTCGCGTTGCTTTCCACAGAAATTCAGTTGGCTTTTGCTAAAAAAGAGCAAATGGCTTCCGTATTCTTGGATATCAAGGGGGCTTTTGATTCAGCATCCGTTGAAGTCCTTTCAGACAAACTCCACGCTTGTGGCCTTTCTCCATTAATAAATAACTTTTTGTACAATTTGCTGTCAGAGAAACATATGAGCTTTTCTCATGGAAACTCTACAGCTTCTCGATTTAGTTACATGGGTCTCCCCCAGGGCTCATGTTTAAGCCCCCTTTTGTATAATTTCTACGTCAGAGGAATTGCCAATTGTCTAAGTGACAACTGCACGTTGAGACAACTTGCAGATGACGGAGTAGTGTCTATGACAGGGCCCAAAGGGTTCGACCTGCAAGGACCCTTACAGGATACCTTAGACAATTTGTCTACTTGGGCTATTCAGCTAGGTATCGAATTCTCCACGGAGAAAACTGAGTTGGTCGTTTTTTTAGGAAGCATAGCCCAGCACAACCAAAGCTTCAACTTTTGGGTAAACCGATCACTCATTCTATGTCCTTCAAATATCTTGGGGTCTGGTTCGATTCAAAATGCACCTGGAGATCCCACATTGAGTATCTGAGACGAAAATGTCAACAAAGGACAATTACCGGAACGTGGTGGGGAGCCCATCCACAAGATCTTCTAACGTTGTACCGGACAACGATTTTATCGGTTTTAGAATACGGTAGTTTTTGTTTCCAGTCGGCGGCTAAAACTCACATCATCAAACTGGAACGTATCCAGTATCGTTGTCTTCGTATCGCGTTAGGATGCATGCACTCGACTCATACGATGAGTCTCGAAGTGTTGGCGGGCATGTTGCCACTATCGGATCGGTTCTCGGAATTGTCCCTCAGGCTCCTCACCCGTTGCGAAGTTATGAACCCACTGGTAATCGAAAACTTTGAAAAGCTTCTTGAGCTGAACCCTCAAACTCGTTTTATGTCATTGTACTACGTGTACATAACACAGGATGTCAGCCCTTCACAGCATAATCCTCATCGTGTATGCTTCTCCGACTTCGGCAATTCAGTTAGTTTTGAGTTATCTATGACGCGGGAGATTCGTGGGATCCCAGAACATCATCGTTCCATGATTGTTCCGTCAATTTACGCTG